AAAACTGAGTGCTAAAAAACTGATGCTTTTGAACTGTGGTGTTGGAGAAGACTCTTGAGAGTCCCTTGTACTGCAAGGAGATCTAACCAGTCCATCCTGAAGGAGATCAGTCCTGGGTGTTCATTGGAAGGACTGATGCTGAAGATGAAACTCCAGTACTTTGGCCACCTTATGCAAAGAGTTGACTCACTGGAAAAAGCCCTGATGCTGGGAGGGATTGGGGGCAGGAGGAGAAGGGGACGACAGAGGATGAGATGGCTGGATTGCATCACCAACTCGATGGGCATGAGTTTGAGTAAACTCCAGGAGTTGGTGATGGACAGGGAGGCCTGTGGACAGGTGCTGCGATTCATGGGGTCGCAAAGAGTCGGACATGACTGAGCGACTGAACTGAACTGAACTGAACTGAACTGACCCAGTAATTCCAATCCTGGGTATTTAGCTACAGGAAATGAAATCACTGTCTTGAAAAAATATATACCCTCCTATGTTTGTGCTAAGTCACTTCAGTCGTGTCTGACTCTTTGTGACCCTATGGACTGTAGCCTACCAGGCTCCTCTGTCCATGGGATGCTCCAGGCAAAAAATACTGGAGTGAGTTGCCATGCCCCGTTCCAGGGGATCTTCCCAACTCTGGGATGGAGTCCAGGTCTCTTATGTCTCCCGCATTGGTAGGCGAGTTCTTTACCCCCAGTGCCACCTGGGTGCCTCATATACGTTCATGGTGGCATTATTTACAATTGCTAAAATGTGGAAACAACCCAAGTGTAAACTGACAAATGAACTGATAAAGGAAATTTGAAGTAGATACATACATGAATATTATTCAACCACTAAAAAAGAAGAGAAACTCATCATTTGTGTCAATAAGAATAGACCTTGAGTGAAATAAGTCAAACAGAGAAAGACTAACACTGTATGATCTCATTAACATGTGGAATCTAAAACAAAAACCAAACTCATAGATATGAGAACAGATTGGTGGGGATTGTGCAAAAATGTGCAAAGGAAGTAAAAAAGGCAAAAATTTCCAGTTATAAGACAAATAAGTTCTGGGGATGTAACACCTCATAATGACCAAGTTAATAACACTCTATCGTACATTGCAAGTTGGCACAAAATAGATCTTAAAAGTTTTGATCACAAGAAAGAAGGAACTTGTAACTATATGTGGTGATGGATGTTAACTTATTGCAGTGATCATTTAGCAATATATACACATGTCACACCATTACATTGTATATCTAAAACTAATACAATATTATATGTCAACCATATCTCAATTTTTAAAATAAACAAATATATAAACTAACTAAAAATCTTTGTACATTTGTTTCACACACCTTCATTTACTGAGGATAAATTTCTAAAAATAGAAATCTTGGATCAAAGATCTGCCTATGACTAAGGTTTTTGACACATATTGACTCCTCAAGAGCTGTACCAATTTATATTCTCACCATTGATGTATAAGAGTGTTCAATTTTTAAAGCATCTTTAACAGTTGGGATTACAAGAAAAATCTTTGCCACCTTGACAGAGAAAATGAGTACCTCATTGCCATCTAATATGCTTTTTAAAACCTAGTGTGGTTAAACTTTAAAACATGTTTTCAACCCAATGGTATTCCTGCTTTTGCAAAATGTTCTACCATGTCTATCTTTGATCTTTACAATGATCAAAGTATTTGGTACAAGATTACCTTATTTTAAAAAAATCCAAACTAGTTTATCCTAACTAGCTTATTACTAGTCATCACTAGTAATCAATCTAGTTTATCATGGCAAAAATTTCTATGCAAAATACTTAGAAATGTCAAGTCAGAACATAGCCATTCCAGAGAGGGTATTATGGGAAGAAAAATATCTTTTTTGTAGATGATTTTAAATGACCAGAGGATGAAACTTTATTCTTTTGATCTGAATTTGCTGAAATCTGATGGTTTCCAGATTATATTATTAAATATCTCTTCCTTAATGATTTAATTTGCACTTTTTTTCTAGTTGGCAATAATTTACAACTCGAATGGATGAAGGTCTAAATAACAGTTGAACCAAAATCTTTATCATTTAACATTATCTTAGATCATTAATATACTAGAATTTAAGTATTTAAATACTTTTCATAAAAAGCTAATACATTTCAATAACACATCTGTTAAGAAAAAAGTCCCCCCAAGGGTATAGTTAAAAGCATTTATTTATATGGGAAGGCTGTAATAGTTACATAACTATTTTCATTGGCACTAGAATGCAATTTCTATGCCCACAGTGAGGAAAGTATTACGTTTGTGGGCAAAATGGTAAAAACATAAGATTAAAAAGGTAAAATAGAAACACATGGGAAAGATGTGTCACTAAGGACACTATTTCGGTATGAAGAAGGAAGCAGAAAATAGTTTGGTCATGTCTAGTCAGAACCTCAATAACTTGCCAAAAGTTTTCTCTAGTCAGAGATTAGTCCCATTTTCTCAAACCTAACCTTCTGTTGGCTAAGGCTGCAGGACCCGAAAACGCCTATACAGAGATAATGTAGACTGTGTGTGCAGATTATATGTGAAGACTACCTGGGGTGAAAAACTAGTCATTTAATGCCTCCACAGTGGTGACCTGCTGTGGGGAATATTCTGCAGTGAATTCTCACGGCAACTTCCCATGTAGTGCTCTCGGTCTTGGCTTGGCATCTCTTATTTCCTGCGCTCCTGGCTTTAATTCTGAGGCAGTCCACGGCTTGACTCCTAAATTCTTGACCACAGTTGACAGAAGTGCTGAACCTAATTCTTAATTGCTCCTTTTGTTTGATGACTTGGATTCCGCGTTCTCTTCCTTAACCCGAACTCTGATACCTATTATAGATTCTGCAAAATGATTCAAGATTATGCAATCCTGGTTTTTAACTTCTACATAGACATTTCTGCGAGACCCCAAAATCGAAAGATAGAGAATATTAAAGACAGGACACGATAGGTTTGTTCAACAGTTTAACTGGTGGCTACTTTAGAGGCAGCAACGAAACGAACAGGTAAGTGACTTAGAGACACTGGTCTACAAAGCCTTTATCTGTAGCATCAAAGGCATTCTATCACCATACACTGCATTTTCAAATTAGAGTGGTAGCACATTAAAATTAGACTGCCATCATTTCCTCTCTGAAATCCTCCACACATTCACTTCTCATAAATAAAAACACTCAAAAAATAAACAAAAAAAAAGAAGAAAACTGAAATAACATAAGCATCTTTGTCATAAAAATGATGATAAATTATGTAATTGGCATCAGGAAGGATGTTAGGAAAAGAAAAATTAGACCAATTACGTTAGTGTGCTTCAAAATGTAAAGAGTCATTACATTTACATAGTTATGTTATACTAAAGAACTTAAGCATAGCAAATTTTAAAAATTATATTTATATATATATTTCAGTTGATAGGATATTTTCACAAATAACTACTTTGTCCACAATAAAAACTCTATGAGAGAAATATTATCCTCATTCTACATTTAAACTTTTCTTGGATCCCATCATTTCCAATGACATTCATCTTATTCCCTGTTAGCTATCTTCCTCCCATCATAAGTTTTATCTTGGTTCTTATCATCACTCAGAACTAATTCTTCTTGGAAGACCTACATTAGAATAACTCACTCAACATGGTCTGTAACCTTCTACCTTTTCATTTCTTTATTCAATTATCCCCATTATACCTAGTCTTTAACTTTATTAAAGATAGGGAATCTAGACCCTTTTGCTCTATCTACCCATCCTTACATCTTCACTTCCTTCTCTATCGAACTTAGTGCTAAAAATCAGGAGGATGAGTGATGAGCTATATTTGGCAGAGAGAAGTGAAGAAGAGAGAGGCATCAGGAATTCATGGAGACACAGAACACATAGAGAAGGTCAAGTTTGGTGGGGAAATAAGAGTTTGATGGTGGGTGAGGCTGAGTATGAGATAAGTTTGAGATATCCCTAGAGGAAGTTTAAAATAACCCAATGGGCATAAGGACCTAGAATTCAAAGAAGTCTGGGCTAGAGATAAAAATCTGCTAGTGAAATGTGTAACCCTGGAGTATATACCCAACATATCACACAGAACAAAGAGAAAAGGGCCTGGTACTGAGTGTTGAAGCATTCTGATTTAATAGCTAGTCACTAAAGGATGAAACAGGGGCAGGGGGAGGGGGAGGCAAAACTTCAAAAAGGTAGGAAGAAAGTCAGCGGGGGTCTGTGAGAATATTTCAAGGAAGAGAGTGGGGTCCACAATGTTAAAAGCTGCTGAGAATCCAAATAAGGTCAACACGGAAAAATGTTCATTGTGGTTAGTGAAATGGAAGTCTATGTGTGAGCTTTTAAGTTGTCAGAACTCATCAGGTCTTTCTCCTTTGACTCTCTGCCTGTGCTTTTATTCTACCTGCCCTTCATGAAACAGGAAGAGTAAAGATTCTCACTGGGAGGTTTTGGATTTGGGGAAGTAGTTTGGGGGAGGTGGATCTAGAGAAAGGAGCAAAACAAAGCTTAGAGAAAAATAAAACAAGTAACTCAGACAAAAGCAGGTAGCCAAGTATCTACAATCAATCAAAGACAAACAGTAGATCTGGTACATACTGTATACAAAGGCAGATTCTGTTGTGACGCTTAGAAACTGTGGCTAATTTTTGAGATGAAGGTTGAAGAGAGAAGTGTATACACTCTTCATTTCACACAATGAATAATATATTTTCATACATTTCATTCTTTGTTCAGCCATAATCACTGGGTATTTTATCAGATTCTAGGGCACTCTTTCTCCAGCTCATGCACAATACATTTTAAAGTCAGAGTACTTTTCTCAAATATGTAGAATTCAATGAGAAATAATGTGTGAAATCATCAAACATTAATTCCTGGCATTTCATAGGTGTCCAGCACACATTTTTTATTGAATTTGAATCCTTTGAAAATTATGAACTAATATCAAGGCACATCGTTTTTGATCCATATGCAGTGAAAACCTGATTACCTTGGATATCATCATTGAATGTGCAATACTGGTTTTGATACTTTTTCAGGAGCCGAAATGCATTTATATTGGCAAAATCTTCAAACTGAATAAGGCAGTTCATGCCATACCTATGGGACAAAACATTCACATTAGAAAAAGTTAATGAAATAACATTTAAAAATAAACCTTTAAAACTAGCCTATCAGTTCAGTTCACTAGTCTATAGAAAAGGCAAAATATTATTTTCTTTTAAAAGTCCCATCTTGCTACTTAGTACAAATGTGAAATATAATGTAAGTTCAGTAAATATTTACTACATGCTTACTACAGAAAAAGCATTTCACTGGCACTGTGACAAACTACAAAGATGACAAAAATATGGTACTTTCAGTTAAGAAATTTAAAAGTTAATAAAAACTAAGATATTCTGAAATATACTAAAGTACATGAAAAGTAATATAAAAGTGGTATAACAGATGCTGAGAAGACAGGCAACATTCCCTATTGGGCTTACAAACCAGGTAACAAATTGAGTTTTAATCACCTCATGATTTGAAAAGAGATGTGGGGTTCCAAAAGCTGAGTAAATAGCAGAAGCAAAGTAACTGAAGTGGAATTTAGGAAACAAAAAAATATTTAAAAAAACAGCAAGAAGCCTTATTTGGCTAAAATGGTACATGCAAGGGTGTAGTGAAAGACAAAGTTAGAATTTTATGTTGGAAACCATAAAAATTCTAGCCTAGGATTCTGGTGTTTGTTCTATAGTTACAGTTAAAAACCTTTTGAGTTTCAAAGTATAGAGGTTTTTATTTCTGAAATTAACCTGTTTGAACCTTTATTTTTATGACCATCCATAGCCTAGCCTTCCAAGGCAAGGGAAATTAACACCATTGATACCGCATGTATCTGAGAACTGCCAGGGAAAGCCTTATAGGCAGGAACCTCCTCGCTAGGTGATTTAGAGATACTTGGTCTCCAATCTCAGCTAGACTCTCACTGATTCCTTTTATTTTTCCTTAGTCAGCTTCCACTTCCACTGCACCCAAAGACTATTTCTAATCTTTGCCAATCCTTTAAAATCCTGATCTCTTAACTTTCTCCTACTTCCTAGCATAATGAGGGCATAATATATTACCTCCCTCGACTATTCTCCCCCCACTGCACCCCATATCTCTATCTTCAGCGCAACCCTTCAGGCATTAGTCAACAAGGTGTTCCTCTTCCTGCTCAAGGTAACTCACCACCAGTGCCCACATTTTCATCTCTTCTTTCTTAATTAGTTCCCTTTCTCCGATCTATTACAATGTATTCTTCTGGACCTCAGATAGGCAGGTGATACCACCCTAATGGCAAAAACTGAAGAGAAACCAAAGAACCTCTTGATGAAGGTGAAGGAGAAGAGTGAAAAAGCTGGCCTAAAACTCAGTATTTAAAAAACTGAGATCATGACATCCAGTCCTATTATTTCATGGCAAATAGAAGGGGAAAAGGTGGAAGCAGTGACAAATTTCCTCTTCTTGGGTTCTAATACTACTACGGATAGTGACTGCAGCCACGAAATTAGAAGATGATTGCTTCTTGGCAGGAAAGCTATGACAAACCTAGACAGTATGTTAAAAAGCAAAGACATCGCTTTGCCACCAAAGTACAGATAGTCAAGGCTTTGGTTTTTCTAATAGTCATGTACAGTTGTGAGAGCTGAACCATAAAGAAGGCAGGGTGTTGTAGAACTGAGGCTTTTGAACTGTGGTGCTGGAGAGGCTCTTGAAGAGTCCCTTGGACTGTAAGGAGATCAAATCAGTCAATCCTAAAGGAATATTCATTGAAAGGACTGAAGTTGAAGCTGAAGCTCCAATACTTTGGCCACCTGATCGAATAGCTGACTTACTGGAAAAGATCCTGATGCTAGGAAAGACTAACGACAAAAGGAGAAGGGGGTGACAGAGGATGAGATGGTTGGATGGCATCACCAATTCAACGGACATGAACTTGGGCAAACTCTGGGAGATACTAAGGGTCAGGGAAGCCTGGCATGTTGCAGTCCATGGGGTCACAAAGAGTCGGACACAACTTGGCAACTGAACAACAACAACAACATTCTTCTGGACAAGCTCCTTCCTCTTTATCAACAGCTGATTTTGAGCTTCTCATCAGAGGCAGAAATGAGATGCCTTGACCCCAAGTGTTTCCTATCCTTTCCTTTTAATGTACATGAAATAATAGTTTTTAGTTTACATTGTTCACCATGCTCTGTCATTTACCTTCTGCCCTCACAACTCTACTAAAATTGTGTGCTCTAAAATTATAACACTTCTGAAATAAAAATCCAAGGAACATTGTTTTCAAACCTTAATTGACTAGAGCTCTTTGCTGCATTTCCACTAATTCTGGATCTTTTTTCTTGAAACTCTATTCCCTAGGCTTCTGTGATAGCATGCCTTTCAGTGCCTTCCCCCAAACTACTGATCATTTCTTCTTTCTCCCTTAGGGAATTCTTAGCATGCAAACATTGGTGTTTCCCATGACTCTGTACTTGGTCTACAGCATGCTGTGTGTGCGTGCGTGTGTGTGTGTGTATGTGTCCTGACAGATGTGATCCTACTCAGTTTCAATCACTAACTACGTACAGTGATTCCCAAATGTATGCTTATAGTCTAATCCTGTGAATGTCAAACTTATAAATCTCATGATCAGCTGGATAATTTCATTTGAACAAACCTCAAATTTAAAAAACCCAGAATTAAACTCATTATATTCCCAAAGAAAATATTAACTACTCAGCAAATATTTGTTGGATGAATGTAACTTACAAATACCTTTTCATTTAAGCTCAAGGTACAGTCTTAGAGATAAGGAAAGCCTTGAGTTCCGGGTAAGCTGGGGAGGGGAGATTTGCATTCAGCTCTGCCTGACAATATGGAAGAGTCTGATGTTTAAAGTAAGCTTTAAGTTTATGATTGATTCTTTTCTGTTACACTGTAGGTCATTACATATACCTTTAAGTATGTATCTTTGAATAATGCCAAGTTATAAAACTAAGGAGACATACAACAGAAAAGTTTTATAAAATTTAATCAGAAAAACAAACTAGTGCAAACACTGAATAGTGCAAAAGACTGAATAGGGGCTATGTTTCACTGCAAACCAACTGTTAATAGAAAGATGCTAAGCATAGGTCTGGTTTTTCAGTGTTTGTTATGGTCCTACCTCTTCATGGTGAAGTCTGTCTCCTCAAGACTTAAACAAACACCATCTTATAAGTCATTTATTCCGTATTTCTAACCCAGATCGCTTACTGAAACTCAATCAACTTCTCAGAACATTTCCAAACCTAAGTAGTCTCTTGATTTGCAACCTCAATTTTTTTTTTATGAAACCATGTATTTCCCTGTCTCAGAGATCCAAAGATTAAAGCTATTGTCTTCCTATCTCTCTTTTTTTTTTAAACACATTGTATTCATTTAATTACTATTTTCTATCATTTCTGGGGCTTCCCAGGTGGCACTAGTGGTAAAGAACCCACCTGCCAATGCAGGAGACATGAGATGCTGGTTCTATCCCCTGGAGGGAGGGCATGGCAATCCACTCCAGTATTCCTGCCTGGAGAATCCCATGGCGCAGGAGACTTGGTGGGCTACAGTCCATAGATTTGTATAGAGTCAGACATGACTGAAGCAACTTAGCACATGTCATTTTTACTACTTAAATATTATTGTAGCCAAAGAAATTAGTCCTGCTCCTGCTAGGGCTGCAAAAAGTCTATTGGTCTCTCTGCTTCTCTCTGCTTCCCTCAAGCATGTGATACAGAGCTGCCAAATTTTTATAAACAGCAACTTCCTCCAGCTACTTCTGTGCTCAAAATTCAGAGTGGACTGCTGTGACGTTGACACTCAAATTCCTTAAACTCAAGGGCCTATAATCAAATACTATCTTTTCAATTGCTTTATCTCTCCCTGTATTCCAGGATAAGCCCCTTCCCCGCTGCACCACTTTTCTCCACTCTCAAACATGCTATGTCCTCCTTCCCACATCTTTATTTTTCTCCTTTAGTTTTTATGGGGGCATGACTGCTTCACAAAGTTGCCTTAGTTTCCGTTGAGTAGGAAAGTGAATCAGCTGCATGTATACATGTGAACACACGCCCTCTTTTGGGGTTTCCTTCCCATTTACATCACCACAGAGTTCCCCCTATGTCTTTAGTAAGGCACTGCCATTGCAAATCACCATTACTCCTGAATTGGCAATCAATTACATTGGGTTTAAAACTGCTAGTGTGTAGATGTCTCACTAACTAGATTAAAAGTTCTTAAGAGACTTAAAACAAAACAAAAAAAAAAAGAGAGAGAGAGAGGGAGACTTAAAACTCTATCCGATAGTACTTCAGTAGAGAAAAGATCAAGCGAATATAAAATGTAAGCAAAAATTTACTTCATACAATAATAACTGATAGCTTAGTAATCTGCACTGCTGAATACTACGACTACCAGCTGCTTTGAATGTTGCATCAGAGCAGTGCTCAGTCATGCGCCCGTGCTCACTTAGTCCAGTCTGACTCCTTGGGACCTCAAGGACTGTAGCCCACCAGACTCCTCTGGACATGGACTTTTCCAGGCAAGAATACTGCATCAGAGTAGGTTTCCCCTTTATTTGCCCAAATTCCAGAAGTTTTAGTGTTTAGCATTTTTCACACTAGTTCAAAAAAAGCATAATCTTTCTATTATTTAAATAGACATGACTCATTTTAGAATTTCTCTACTACTTAACAAGAAACTAAATCAAATTCATGTTACTTTTTTTTAAAAGAACTGGTACTAAGTAGGCTATAGAAGCTTTCAATATCAATAGTTTCTGTTAATAGAAGTAAAAAGATTAGTCTAGTCAAATGAACAGTTTTCAAAGAACTTGTTTAGTATTATAAGATCTAAACATATTTTTTTCTTTTGGATAAATTCCAAAATATAAACAGGAATTTAAATCATGTTAAATTATGTAAGTCACAATCACTCTTATAATTTTTCTTCATATTTATTTGCCTCTCCTTTGAAACTGCTAATTTTCTACAGTTATCTAAGAAAATAAATTTCTACAAAACTTTTTTCCATCAGCATTTTAAAATTCTGTTCCTTAT